AAAAAGTCATTCAATATATAATTCTACATAAAACTAGCCAGCAAAGATGGCAAATAAAGAGAGGCAAAAAAGGGGTAAAAACAATATTTACAATAACAAAAATAATTATAAATCAGCAACTTTCATAAAATATTCCAATCATGCTAATTTCCAAAAAAAGACTTTACTTTAGCAAAAAAAAGTCACACAGAAAATTTAAAATGAAACAAAATACATGCAAAGAAAAAAATCAAAATCCACTCAGTTAATTGGAAGTAAAACAAAAACACTGTTTGGCACTTATGTCGCAATATCAAACAAGGCAGCAAAGCTGTCAAATGTACAAAAACAAAGCAGAAAAATAATGATGCTAGTGCACAATGTAGTTTTTTGTCAATTTCAATGCAATATTAGAAAATGATTAACAACATAATCACATTCTAAATTCTAATTATGTACTATAGGTATCAAGGACATTCAAAAAATATCACTAGTGTAGGGCTTCAATCCCATTGTGTTTCAAAGCCACACATTGAAAATGCAAATATCAGAAAAATGAAAACTTCACAAAAAAAGCAAGAAAAATAATACAATAAAGCTGCTATTTGAACTTGACTTGTATTTAAGTGGCATAAATCACACCAGTAAGTTTGAGGATAATACATCACATGGACTTCCATAAATTGCATTAATGGTTAAAAAGTGCACTGCAACTATACAGATGCCATCGATGCCTATGTCAGATGCAACTGATAACTATAAGTTCAGACACATGGTGTCAACACAAAACCTCTAACTCTCAAAAAATAAGGTCATCATGACAATTTTCTGAAAAACTGCAATTTTACCAAGCAAACCACTCAGAAAATTTCAATTAAAATGGAAAAATGGTTTGGCAGTTATAGGGTGAAGAACAGATGTGGCATTGACAGCAAAGGCATGGACAGAAACTGATCACAGCACAGACTGTGCAATCTTTACCCATGTGCCAGGACAATATCATGAAGTAGTTGGGGTGAAATACCATCACAATGTCATGAAAAATTCCCGAATTATTTCAGTTTAAGTTGTTGTTCAATCCGTCTCACTCACTCACTGACTCACTCACTCACTCACACACACACACACACACACACACACACACACACACACACACACACACAGATTTGAACATACTAGGGTTTACAGCAATTTAACCAAGCTCTCACCTGTTAATGTGGTTCCTGTAGATAGAATCTAAGAAGTACTTGGCAAGCAGCGGTGTATTGCTTAGACACTGGATTGTTGAGTTCATGTAACAAGTGTTTCCAAGATTACGTAGTCCAGTCAAACCTCTGCCCTGAAGATATTAAGAGGCATTTGTGATATGTGGTTTAAAAATAACATACAATTTGCTTTGATTTTATTTTTAGGTGGGTGTCTAACATTTTTACATGTGAGAATTGTTTCTTGGGCACCAAAAAATAGAACTCTGAAAGTATTTGGCCATATATAAACCCATGCTGAGTTTTGTTTAAACTTATGTCTACAATGAAGTTCACCACTGACATGAATAACTGATACAGTAATATATAAACCTGGGCTCATGCTGACATAGTCATTTTAGACAAATGTTAAACATATATAAAGTAGCTTTTTCTATCAGATGTATAGTTCATACATGCAGCTAGCCATTTGACTAACTGATATTCTATCCTAGGGAAAGCTAACACTGTAGATACAACAGTGTTAGACAAAGCAACAACTATTTAATCTAAGAGGTGTATCTGGAGTGGTTCTGACAAGTGAAAGGAATGACTAACAATAGAATTACGTACCACACTGCCATATACAGGCTGGAACCCTCTCAATCTAGCTGCAGTGATCTCAGTCAACACTGGCTTCACATTCTCATCTCGTAACTGCGGGGTACTGAACCTACAATTAAAAACTCAAAGTCATAAAATGAAAGAAAAATTTCAAGGAAAAATAAACCAGCAGATGCAAATAAACCTATCATTTGGCTGTAAATGTTTAAAAAAGGCAGCAAAGCTGTCAAATGTACAGACAAAAAGCAGAAAAAATGATGCACAAAATAGCTATCAATTCTGATGCAAAAACACATTATGGTTAACAGAAAAGTCAACATCAAATTTTAATTATGCAAAACAGGTAGAATGGATGTAAGTAAAATGCGTAACTAACATAAGACTTCAGGCCCATGAAAGTTCCAAATTCATTCTTTGAAAATGATGGAAACAGAAAATAAAAATTTCAAACATTCAAGAAAAAATTATAATCCAATCAAGCTGGTTTTCCATTTTGACCTGTATGTCAATCCTATGAACACAGTTTTCCTTTCATAACATTAGTGATGGCAGTGCAAAAAGTAAGTTTTTTGACAATTTTGATGCAATATTACATAATGATTAACTGCATAATCAACACCAAATTTTAATTATCTACTATACATAACATCCACATTCAGAAAATGTAAATACCATTCGGCTTTATGCCTGTTGGAGTTCTAAGTCCCATAATAAAAATGCCAATAAATGAAAAATAAAAATTTCACAAAGAACTGAATAGCTTCCAGAAAAAAGAATGCAATCATACTGGTTTTTCAACTCAAGCTACACTTCAGTCCCATGAATCTTTTCAGTAGGTTTGAGAATCATAAGTGACATGGTTTTCCCTTAATGGTCATCATGGCGGCAGTATCCAAAATAGTGTTTTTGTCACATGTGGTGCAATATTACATAATGCTTAACAGCACAATGACCATCAATTTTTAATAATAAAATAAAAGTAGCTTGGATATTTAGAAAATGTGACTAGCAGAAACCTTCAAGCCCATGGAAGCTCAAAGTTACACCTTGAAAATGACAATGTGAAAAATTTAATTTCACACATACACACACACATACACACACACACAAAACCTGTATAACTTCCACAAAAAAAAAAAAAAAAAAAGAAAAAAAACAATAAGATAGGTTTTCCAACTGAAGCTGTATTTTAGTCCTATGTTAGTTTGAGAAGAGGGAGTTACTTGGTTTTCCTAAATGGTCATTATGGAGGCAGCGCAGAAAACAGGATTTTCTTCAATTTTGATTCAATATTACATAATGCTTAACAGCATAAAGACCATCAGTTTTCAATAAAAAAGGGAAAAAACTGTATAACTTTTCTAAAAATGGTCCGATCAAGCTAATTTTCGAAATGGACCTGTATTTTAGTAAGATTGTCCATTCCTGTAAATTTCAAGACAAAAGGCCTATCTGTTTTTATGAAATGTGTTATCAGTGTTGCATATATGCTCAAAAAAGAGAAAAAAAAGCATAACTTTAAAAAAATGGCCTGATCATCCTGATTTTCGAACTTGACCTGCGTTTTATGACTATTCATCAGTTCCATAAGTTTCAAGCCAAATGGTAAAATGTTTTTTTCCACTTATCGTGTTATCGGTGAAAGTGCAAGGCAACGACAGCGATGGCAATGACAGACGCAGATGATGGCTATAAGTACAGACACATCTGTGTCTGTACATAAAAATACAAGTGATAACTTGATCATGCCCATTTTCAAACTTGATATGTACTTCAGACCCACAAGTAAGTTTCACCTAAAATGGAATTACCACTTGATGATTAAGTGTCCCCAAAGCTAATGTCACAGACATATTAAATGATAAAAATACACATATACACATTATTAATAATCATAACTTATTAACATGAAATTATTGTTACCAGAATTTATTTTAGCCTCTGCTTCCTTTTTAGACCAAAAAGTAAAACCATGGACTTCAAGTTTAAATCAGTTTTAATTTTGAGTCACTGTGCTAATAATTCAGCAATAAGGGTGGATTGAGCACCTCCTGCATGGTCCCGTTCCAGTTCAGTAAGGGACAGATGCAGGTGATAACAATGTGTTCAGATCCTTTTGTGTCTGTGTAAAAAAGCTAAATTTTTATAATATCTTTTATCTAAATAGTCAATTAATTGAGTTGCATTCTGTAAAATACCAAGTTCTACTGGTTTCTGTGTGCTCTCAGAAATAGTCATCATCTTATTTAAATCAATTTTAAAACTGTTTTCATAACTATATGTTAATAGATTACATAACCTTTTGGTTGAAAAAATTACAGAAAAAATATTAAATTTCAATCAATTTGATGTACCTAGCAGCTGGCTTAGTTGTGCGGTCTATAGATGGAAATAGTTTAGTTCCCTTAAAGTCATCATCATCTCCAAGTTTTGTCAAGTTTGGAGAGGAGTTTGTCCTTTTCAGGTTTGTCTTTGGTTTGGAGGGTTCATCTTGTAGCTGCATGAAGTACCTTCCACTGGCAGATGGTGAAACTGGAGGAAAAAGAAATCATTGAACATTTTGCAATGCTACATTATGATAAAAAAAAAATTATTATAAAGATATACAGACATAAGAGAGGTTTCAAAAATAACAAAATACAAAGAATGAAGCATCAATCCAAAATAACACCATCATTTTAAGCTCATCATATCCTATTTTATTATTATTTTTTTTTTTGGTAGTTAAGCATTCCATCTTATTATAATTTTGAAAAATATCTAACATAATATGAAGTGTAAATTGAGCTTATATACATAAAACACATGTCTGAAGCTTGTTATCCAATGCTTTTTGTGGGTAAATGGAGACATGTTTGTTAATTTGATTGCCTTCATCAATGGCTTATTTTTTGTGCCCCTGACAGAAATTTCCTATGGGGTCTATAGGAAATTACCACAAATCCTATACATTTTATAGGACTTCCTATAGGACACTATAAAAATTTGGTTTGAAATCCTATGGGGTCCTTTGGGTAAAAATTCTGTAAGACATTCGATAAAATTCATATTAATTCCCATAGAGTCCTGTAGGGCATTTTAGTAAGGGTGAAAATGAAAATTTTAAATTGTACGTTGACCATTTTTTTCCACCCACCCCTGAAGTGTATTTGTACTTTACTGAGGAATTGATCAAGTTTTTTGTACCTTATATTCATACTTCAAATTCGTCATTTGAGAAAATTTCCTCTCAAATAAAGAAATTACTGTGGACATTCATAATCAGAAAAATGAAATGATTATGATTGGAACAACTTTTGAAATTCTTTAAATTTTTAAATTGAAAACAAAAGTATTCCCTTCTGATGATTTTATGACTGAATTGCCTTGTTTTTCAAACAAAACCTCAAATGTAAAAATAAGCACACTGTCACAGCTACAACAATGAAACTTGCCACAGCTTGCCACAACAGACACACTCCTTACCCTGTGGTTGTGTTTGAAAGGACCAATGGGTTGTCCCTGTGTTGTGGTCAATATAGAATGTCCTTCCAGTCCTCACATCCACTTTAGTCTCCCAACCCCTTGGCAGAGAAGTGTCCTGGGGGGTGGCTATAATAGGTCAAAGGTCAAGATATAATTGTCACAGGGTCAAGGCTTAAAACTTGCTGCTTATTCTATCCTATTATCTTGGGTCTATTCAATGTGTCCAAACAAGGCAGCAAAGCTGTCAAGTGGACAAACATATTAAAGATAAAATGTACACAAAGCAATGGCATTAAAACAGTCTACACATGACGAACATCTAATTTAACAAAACATCTTTTTTGTCAATTTTGGTAGAATATGATTATATGATATATAATGATTACCACCCAATTTTTATTATGTTTTACTGTTAATGGCAATTCAGAAAATGTGACTAGCACGGGGCTTCAGGCCCATGGGGGTCATATCTTAAAAAGGCAAATTGTCCTTGACAGTGACTCTAATGACCAAGGCTCCATGTCTGGACACAGGTGTCTGACCGTAGAAAAAAAATTAAGACTTAAAAAGACTTTCCCAACAGAAGATGAACATTTGATTTTGTTAGTCAATACAACTTCTCTCAATACCTATATACCCTCCTCATCCAGCAAATAAATCCCTCCCTTGAAATGACTTTTTACCTCTTTTAGCCTGGTCTGCTCTGGCCTTCTCTTCAGCATCTTTTCTGACTTTTTCCTCTGCTGCATTTTCGACTCTCTCTCTCTCCTCTGTTTCCCTTCTAATTTTCTCACTTGCTTCCAGCCTGAAATAATACCAACTTCTTATTTACGCTCACATGGGAAGAAGTTTGAAAATAGCATATGTGCAATGGTTCAATTAAAAAAAAAAAACACTTGCAACTAAAAATAGGTGGATTGTAGAAAAATATAAATGATTAAATTCACCAAATAGAATGAGATTAAAAAAAATATTTAAAGTGTTAAGGTAAAAAATGTGATTTTGCTTTTCTGAATTCTTAGGGTACCTTTTTATCATCAGAAAATGCTTATTTTGTTAACGATGACAGTGCACAAATTAGGGGTTTTGTCCATTTTGAAGCAATAATGTGCTAAACAGTAACATTGCAACCAAATTTTAATTGTGCACTACTGTAATTGTGGACATCCAGAAAATGTTTCTAGCACAGAATTCAAAATGTCAATATGTGAAAAGTGCTAAATAACAACTGTAAAACTTCAAGAAAATGGCCAATAGAGCTGCTATTTGATCCTGGCCTGTATTGGAGGGCAATGAAGCAGTTTGAGGATAATAAATACTCAGTTATCTATTTATTATGTTAAATTCACAATGAAAGTGTAGGGCACCATTGACAGGCGATGGCTGTGTGTACAGAAAGATGACTCCACTGAAATACCAAATATTACATTATATCTGAAAGTGAGAAGATATGGTCCACATATTTCATTTAATTGTTCTTTTCTCAAATTTTGCAAGATTTAGCATATCATAGACCCTGCTAATTTTTACAAAACTGATGCGATATTTTCAATAAATTTCATTGTCTTGTGTCACATACTTTGCCTTTTCTTCAGCGTCATATTTATATTTCTCTTCTGCCTTGTTCCTGGACTTTTCCTCTGCCTCTAACCTTGCTTTTTCTTCCATTGCTTTTCTTGCACTCTCTTGTGCAGCTGTTTTTCTTTGTTCATCTGCTAACCTTCTGGCATCCTCAGCCTCTTTCTGTTCCTGTAATCCAAACAACTCCTACTTACAATCATATGTACATACAACACAACACATTCTTACTGAAATATGAAGATTTGCTCGGCCCAAGGACCATTGCCATGGCAATAATTATAAGTGTTAAAACCCACAATAAGCACAGATAGTAGACACAACTGTCAAGCATGCAATTAAAAAAAAATTTTTAATGTCTAAAGTGTGGAATAATTGGATGACACACAACATATTTGGTTAACACCTTTGTCCTTTTAACATTCAGCTGAGATATATATTCTGTGCACATTCTAAAATCTATTTCTGGACACTGATTACCTTATACCTGTCAATTGATGTTAACAGTGAAATCATCTGTTGAAAGCCACTTAAATATAAATAAACAGAAAATTTTGTGTGTAAAGCACTTTCAAAACTGAAGTAAAACTTTCTGCTGACTTGTAATCTCACTTCCATAGAACTTATCCACAACCTGATAAGCCAATTTTATTTTTGATCTGTTTGTGCCCCTGACGAGGCCTCCGGGTCGAAACAGCTGTAGGGACTTTTTAAATTAAAATAGAGAGAACAGACTAATTTGTTCGGTTCTTTGTCTTTACATATATATATATATATACATACAATCATTATATGTGATGGCTATACAATGTGTCTATAAATACAAGGACTTCAGTTGCATTTAGAACTAGCTTCTGCTCCAGCTCCAGAACCATGAACTATGGACAGTCATAGGTGATTATCACATGTATAGACACTACTGTATCGGCAAGTACAATCTCTTTGTAAAACACAAAAACTGATCCCTTTTTTTTCTTACCTGTAATTTCAGTGCTGCCTCCTTGTCCCGTCTTTCTTGTTCCTCTCTAGCTGCTTTATCAGCCCTCTGCAAAATATACCTAACATTTCAAAAACAATAACAAATATTGATAGAGTAAAAGTTTTGCCATTTCCATAAATGTAAATTCTAAATTAACATCTCTTCAAAAACAGTTTAAAGTAATTTGCAATCCAATATTTTCGTGTTATTCAAATGTCCAAATAAAAATACTTATTCTCATGCATAATATTTTTACTCGAAAGTTTTACATGCAAGCATGTTTCAAAATGTCTACTGACCTCTCTGTTGAGCTTATCTTGCTCTGCTTTCATGTTCTCTTTGTGCTCCTGTATCTCTTGCTCTCTTCTCTTATCTTCCATTTCCTTTTTCTTCCTCTCTTGTCTCAATCTTTCCACCTCCTGTTGCATCTTCAACTTTTCTTTTTCTTCTTGCTTGATTTGATGAAGATCTTCTTCCCTTTATTTAAATTTTACAATCTCAAAGTGGATGTCAGTCATGTGAAGAGGTCACTTCACAATGCTTACATTAACTATTTTCTCTTATGTAAGGAATACATTTCTGAATGTTATATACATAAAAAAATGCATTATACGTCAATAACATAACTGAATATTCATGGATGAAAATACTTATCAAAGAAATCAAAATAAATTTTACATTTCACTCAAAAGAGTAGTTACTAGTATATATATATATATATATATATATATATATATATATATATATATATATATATATATATATATATATATATATGTTAAGCATGTATATGTTATAAGCATAAATAACCAACTTTCTTTTTTCTTCTTCTTTAATTCTCTGCTGTTCCTCCTCTTGCTTTTCTTCTTCCGTCTTGATTTGCCTCTCAATCATTTTCTTTTTTCTTAGAAGCTCTGCAACCTCTTTTTCTTCCTAAAAGAAACCAAGGTTTAGGTCTTCATTATTGTCTGCTTCATCTGCTGATAATAAAATCACAATTCTTGATTTTAGGTTATGTTTAAAATAGTGAAGTCCAACATTTACATTCTAGTTTTCATTTTTATTCCAAGTCTGTAACACAAGTCACTAGTGTAAAGTAGAAACTACACACAGATGATGGAAAATTCACAGACATTAATCACATGAATTCAAAGAATCAGATTCGATGGCATCTACACAAGCCAGATGGCAAATGAGTTTTTAAGATTCCAAAGAAAAAACAATAAGAAATTTTCACCTCTACATCATGCAGTTATGGTCTGTCTAAAAGAAGTTAACATTTTCCCTGTAATAATTCCCAATCTCTTTCAAGTTTTCTAACCAACACTAAACAACAAGAACGCCAAACACTTAAAATGTACCATTGCATTTTTGAATCACACAGATATTCAAGTAAACACCCCTTTTTACCAAACAAAGCCAAACATCAAATTTATGGTGGATATTAATGATTATTATGATTATAGAAAGGAATCTTTTTCTTTGTTAACCAATAAAAGGTACTCAATTTATTTAAAGTGAAACAAAAATATGGTTGAGTTTTTTGCGGGACTGATGGGACAGCATGGTCAGACGAAAAAAGTTCAGAAGATATACAGACACATACATTGTCTGAATATTAAACTTGAATCCTTCTAAGTTACTCGTCCAATCTGAAAAGTGGAAATTTTTACAGGTAGTTTCAAAATAATTTTCCATTATCTGCATATTTTGTCTTTATGACTAATTTTGATTTTGGCTAGCAACTCCCAGAGGTTTAATAGTTCCAGTGACCAGTAGGCTAAAAAGGTAAATGTGTAGGCTGTATGAACTATTAACTATTATAGACACCTTTTCCCTCATGGCCTGTAGTCTCTCTATTCTATCCTCTTCATCCTTCAATCGTGCTAGTCTGGCTTTGTGTTCCGCAACCAACTTTTCCCTCTCCTTTTTATACTCCAACATCTCTCTCTCCTTCTCCTCTGTTTCCACTCTTAATTCATCCAGCCTGGCTGTGATATCACTCTGCGCAGTGGCTAATGTAGAGCTGTCAGAGGATGCACTATATTCCTGGATTGGTCTGGGTTTGGGTTTCAATGAACGGTTGACTTGTGGTATCTGTGGACGTGACTGAGGCTGTACCTTTGTTTCATCAGTTTTTATTAGGTCATTTTCAGCTGCTCTGCTGTTCTGGGGAACAAAGTTAGTTATACTGCTGCTAGAGCTTTTCTCTGTTAACTGTTTCTTTAACTCCTGATATATGCTGTCAGTGGCTGGTTTAGTAAAGGGTGGCTGAAAGGACTTGTTACTGTCACTTCCTGCAACAGCAGATACAGGGGGTTTTGGTTTCATTGATCTATCCACCACAGGCCTATTCTGTCCTGTAGATGTTGTTACAGTACCATCAGTGTTAATCTGCTGTAGACTTGGTCCATTCTGTACATCTGACTTTTGTGGCTCTGGGGGCTCTTCATCTAAATCTGGATAGTCAAAGTCCACTGAAAAAAAAGAGCGCATACTGCTTCGATATTGTTGCCATTTTACATACTTATATTCATCTTTATCAGTAATCATAATCTACATAATGGTCAATATCAGTGGAATTAATGTACTACAAAAACATAGGATCAAAGTAAAGGAATACATAAGAGTATGGTGCTTCTGCGTTATTCAGAATAGTGATTCAAGGAGCACCTACTGGCAGGTAATTAACTGAAAAACTTTAAATGAACTTACATGAAGGAAGAGTTGACTGATCTTTCTTAGTATCAGACTGTGGTGCTGACACATTTGAGTTAGTGGTGAGAGTTGGGTAATACAACAACCAGTCTTCATAGCCACCATCTAGTACTAGAGGTTCATGCTGGACTATCACCAACTGATCCCACTGAAAATGCACATATTTTGTTACGTAAAAAACCTCAGTAGTCACCACTCAGTGGATATTGGCTGACTGGTAATATTATCTTGGGAGACATTAATATGTTTCAAATAACATAATAAAACTATTAGTGATATTTGCTCTTGGTCAATTTGTAGTTTTGCTGACCTCACTGAAAGTCGATTATTGAAGATAATCCCATTTTGCTATGCAACACAAGTCTACATAAATCTGCGGTGAGATGTGTCTCATGAGGTTGTGTCATTGGGCTGATGCCAAAATGCGGCAACCATCAACCATATGATGCATCTCTATATCTATCAAATAACACAGCTGGATATGTTTGTATACTCCAAGAGAACAAACCATTTGGAACTACCAGGGTATTTTTAACCAATCTAATTACAAGCCTTGCGTGTGTGCGTGCGTGAATGCATGCGTGCGCGCATTCCCTAACCTTATAAATGGCATCTTTGAGATTATTCAGGGGACTGTTGGTGACAAGATCAGCCAAAGAACTCTGCCAGTCCAGCAGGACAATGTACCCCACATGTCCCCTCTTTTTCCACATGGGCAGTGCCTCTGTTGGGAGATTCTTCTCTATCATAGCCACAGTGCAACTACAAAGGAAAAAGATAAAATGATGACAAACAGTGTTAGCAAATTCAAAACAACATTTAAAATTCTGACATAACTGTGAAGAAAGAAACAGAATAAACAGATGTGTCTAATTTTCACATAACAAGCATTATATCTATATATCACACTGGCACATGAGATTATAAAAATTCCAACTATCATAGAATTAAAACAAAAAGACCTGTGAAATTATTTCAGCTTACCCCCCTGGTAAGATATGAGCTGGTACATTAATACATGAAGGGTCTCTAATGTGGGAGTTTTCATAGTCTGCAGCAGCTCTGATATCTAGTATGAGAACTGAGCAATCTGGAGTCTGCAGCATCTCATACAGCTTCCTACAGCTCACAGCACCTGAAAAAATGAATTAACAGCTGAGAGACTAACAATAATGATAACCTAGTATATAGAATCAATCTACCAACCTTAAATTCTTACAAAAACATACAATGTGTACAGTGAACTAGACTGAAAATCTAAAAACATGGGCTGTTTAGGCCTATTATGTCATCAAGGCAGCAAAGCTGTCAAATGGACAGAAATAAATGACAAAACTGATAGATTCTGAAGTGGTAATATTACAATGATGAACAGCCAATTTAACAATAAAAGCACACATTTTCATCTATACAGATATATGATTCTTAAAAGCATTATCAACATGAAATTATAATGGTGTACAACTGTTACTTTGGTCATACAGAAAATGTAACCAACATTGAGCTTCAGACCCATGGGTATTAATTCACACCTGAAAAATGCCCTGAAAAGTGAGATTATCTTAGTATTTTTGCCCTAACTTACTTGTTTGCAAATACTGCACAAATTATTCATTTTCCTTCAAGCTAAGGGAAGATGTCTTTTAAAATGAAAATGTCTGAACTGAACAATGGGCTTTTGAGTATCAAATTTATATCTGATAACCAGAGAGGAAAATCAGAAACTTCATATTACAATGCACAATTTTTCTTAATTTCTTTGTATTTCTACTTGAAAATTAATCATGATGGCATCACATAAGTTATGCTTTAATTTGTAAGTTTTTATGAATTTATCATTATGTGACTCACTGATCCCATGGCTGGTGCTTCAAACAGCAAGATAAATGCACTGAAGCATATTAAACAGGTGAGAGTGTAAGCAAAATACAATTGCATTTATCCTATTGTTTGAAATGCCAGCCGTAGAATAATCTGTTTTATTTATATCTTGCATACCAGAAGCAAACTGATTCTCTTTTTCAGGGGCTTCATTATTTTCATTAATCTTTTCCTTGGCCATTTCCTGTTCTTCTAACTGTTTGACCATTTCTTTTTCCTCTTTCTGTTTCCTTTCAAGTTCTTGTTCTTTTTTCTTATCCCTTTCATCTAACCTTGCTTTGACATGTTCAGCCTCAAGGAGTTCATATCTAAAATGTAAGACACAAAAATAAGTATGGTCATTTCCCCAAATTATATTCAGCTCATACCTCATTGGATAATTATCATCTGTCATAAAGATAATGTATTTACCTTCTTTCATAAATATACACTTTCACTCACAAAAACACAGAAACAACCAGGCAGAGAAAGTAAGTAAATCTTCAAACCTGTCTTTGAGACTAGATGACAGGGCTTCAGCTTCTTCAATTGCCTTCAGCTGATTTTTTCCTCCGATCATCTTACTGAAAAATTCCTGCAAAAAAATATCCAAAAAGTTGGAGATATTAAAATGATTAAAACATATATTCCTGTAAGTTACCAGACATGTATAAAGGTACTGAAGAAGAAATTTGTATAGCGTGTTTGCAATAATAAAGGTACTTTGTACGGGATTTACCTGCCTAAATGAAATTGCCTGGAGAAAAAAAAAATGTTCTCCTATTCCTGCTCAAACCCATGTTACACTTGGATTTGATGTTTTATTCCTTTTTAATCTAATGCTTTAATTCTAAATGACTGGTCAAATACACTTTTATTAAAGTGAAATCATTGTCCCTAAGATCTGAGTTGGGGAATGTAAGAAGCTTGCCATTTATAATAACTCAAAATGGCCAATTTTTACACAAGAATGGCTGCTAAGGAGACAAAACAATTTTCTCGGAAATTAAAAAAAAAAACAATCTGGAAATGTGAGGCAGCAGTACATTTATATAAAATTAGAGAAAAAAGTTATGGTTGGGATTCCAAGATATTAGTGTTAACAAACGGACAGACAAAAATCCACGGCTTAAGGTTAGGTAACCTAAAAATATAAATCATTCAAGTAAATGAATCTTAATCATTCTAGACAAAGAACTAAATGTGCAATTTTAACAACAATAAAAAAAAACATACAACTGTGATAGGAAAAACTTATACAAGATTAATGTAAATAAATAGTTCAGTATTTTGTAACAGTCACATTCAATACAAAACACTGATTAGAGTGTGCAAACTAACCTCATTCTTTTTATAGTCTGGCAACTTTTTCGCAATGGTTATGATGTTGAAGTATCTCATATACATTACATATCCTCTCTCCTCATCTCCATCCAGCTTAGCTTGCTCTGCATGATTGAAGATCTTCTCAGCTGACTTCACAGCTCTGAAAATATTTGAGTTTTCTATCAGTTTTGATTCAAAATAACATACATAATGCTTAACAGCATAACCACTACCAAATTTTTAGTTATGTGTGTACTATAGTTGGCATGGATATTCAGAATAAGTAACTGGTATATTATATATGGCTTCAGACCTACGGGAGTTCAAAATCATACATTGAAAATATGAAAAATGAAAAAATAAAAGCAGCAAAGCTATAAAAGTTCAGACATAAAAGCAAACAATTACGCACAAAATAGTTTATTTTGTCAATTTTTATGCATGATGCTTTGCATCTCAATAACAAATTTTAATGAGATTAAACTAATTCAAAATTCAAGGTCACATTAAGATGCCCAATACATGATTTCCTAGTCAAGTTCAATGGTAACTATGGGTGTATCTCTGCTAATTTGCTAAGTTCAAATCATGGTGAAAAGAATAATTTTATATGCATTAAAATGTTATGATCATACTTTAACTTAAAATTTTGTCAGTAACAGGAGACTTTTATGGGATATAAATAATAAACTATTGTATATATATGGACTCCACAAAGCATATAATCCATGGTGTGCCAGAAATTCTATATTAGATGACTTAAAGCAGTACCAACACTTTTATAAAAAGACTGAAAGCACTTCTTCATACCAAGCATTGGACATATTAAAGAATTATTAGATGTGTATGTCTATGGTAATTATTCAATCTTTGCAATGGAGGGAAAATTGTAAATTTTACAGGTATATATTTTTTTCAAGCAAAATTAGATCAATCCTACTGAGCGTCAGCAACAAAATTTAAAAGCGGGATACTCTACAGTTCTATTCTGTGCAGTAAAAGCACCAAAATGCTATAAAGAAATAAAATTTTATGATTATAAAATCATGTATCTAAAAGTTTGATAAGTCTTGCCCATTGAAAAGATTAAGTAATTACCATGATTGTTGCACCATGTAAAGTCAACAAAGGTGCTCCAGCATTCAAAGCAATACATACAGCTTATCATAAATACTTTAAGAACACATTAGTTATCTGTGATAAAAAAAAAAAACTTACATCCTCGCACTGGTAAATTTTTGTTTAACCTCTGCCAGCTTGTTTAACTCAGCCATATTCTTAGCCACATAAAGAGGCTTCTTTGAAGAATATGATGGCATCTTGGTCTACTATTTGGCTACAGGTTAGGGATCACATATTGGTATCTGTTAATCTGAAATTAAAATCCAAAAATATAGGACCCTAGCTGTATCTGAAAAAGTGTACTCATCCCCACATTTTAAAAGGGAGCATAACCTGCGTGATGTGGGAGGTGCTACTGGAGAGTCGGTGCCCAAGCTCAGTGATTTTTGAAAGTTAACTGGTAATGATCTTGACAGATGTTTGTTCTGTGGAAGTACTGTATGTTGGGATTAAGAGCTATTTCAAATGTAGATTGATGTACAAGGAAATGCCTAATGGTTCTGCTTGTCTACGGTTAAGATAAAACCTTTGAAAAAAATTCAGTATTTGGAGGTTATTTTACAGGGTGATTATCACCTCATTTTTAGGCTTTTTACTACACCTTGTGTTACAAACTTTCAGGCCTATCAGAATCTGAGTTTTCTTGTTCTGATACACTTTTAAGCATGTCATTCCCCAAAAAACCATTTTGTCATGGGTTTCAATACACATGAAGTTACACCTTAATGCTATTTTAAACATCAAAATAACTTGCTTTTTGGATACTGCATCCCAAATTACATTTATCTTGAACTCAATGCAATGTTTATCTGCCGATCGAGACAGGTCGGATCGAGACCTGTACAGGTGATTTATTTTTATTTTATTTATTTATTTATTATTATTATTATTTATTTATTTTTTTTTTTAATTTTTTTTTTTGCAGCTGCCACAGATGTGACTCAGGAGCTGCAAAAAGATAAGCATTTCTTGAGTTCAAGATTAATGTAAATCCAAAAAGCAAGCTATTTTGGTGTTTAAAGTACGTATGTTACAATAGGGTGTCATTTCGCGGTGTTTCAGTGTTTAATAAGAACCTTTTTCATTCGTTCACGAACCAGTTTGATAACGTTTTTCTCTTTGCAGTAGTTTTACCGATAGCACTTACGCGCGTAAGTGAAGCCACACATAGTCCACTGTAACGTTGAAGGCCGAAAACTGAGGCAATGGCTATTCTGTACTGTATATTTCGGTTAATTGTCTTTGGTAAAGCATTACATCTTTGTAGTTGACACTTGTATCAAAGCTTTAAATAGTGAATACCATCTTGATGTATGAAGCTACTGTATCCGTAATAGGATCCTGTAGGGTTACCTAAACAAAATGCGGAAAGTGGGTTTACCTTTCGTTTTCAGGAAGTTCGGTCAAAACTGTCTCCGTAAATCATGTGATGCAGTTTCTATTTAAAGTGTGGATATTAGTGTTGACTTTTATAATTTAAAATTTCAATTGTAAATATGAAAAAAGATTAAAAAAACGTTTGATATTTTATTTAACTGTAGTTTACTTTGTGTGTATGGGGGGGGGGGATAAAACGAGCGAAACTTATATACAAATATCATATAACTTTTCATTTACCATGAAGTCGTTGAGGAAAAGGCATGTCCAAATAATCATTGTTTTGATCTATTGGTATTGCTGCTTATGCTTAGCCAACAACGAATCTGGGGAAAGTAAAAAAGGCACAAAAGACGAAAAATGGAAAAAGAAAGACATAAGAGACTACACGGAGGCGGACTTGGAAAGGCTTTACGACCAGTGGGAGGTAATAACTAATCCACGACACGCTAGCCATCAAATAATCATTTTTTTTTTCGGTGAAGAATCCAGTGAAGGGCATTTTGTTATTTAAAATAATCTTTAGTAGGCAGTTCGTTGGTATTGCGTGTATTTTGTGGTATTTCGTGACATTTCGGTACTTAGTGACGCCCTTTAAGACACCCGTAAAAATTAACCATAAATATTTACTAAGTTGACTTTTACTGTGCATGGTCTGCACATAGGACTTTTAATTTCGGGTACAGATAGCCACATATCTGAGTTTGAATTTTCAAGTAAGAAAGTTTTCTGACAATTTGTTTCTCAAACTCATCCAACCATAAAACGACCAAAAATAGATAATCTTTCAATAGAAACAAATATAGTAATGTAGTGCCAGGGGCAAGTAGAACCGGCCGGGTAGCTCTGTAAGCGAGGGGTCCCGGGTTCGATTCCTGGTCAAGTCGGTGATTTTTCTGCACTCGCCCCAAATCGCTACAATGGTGGCAGTGGTGTTGCGAGATAGGGCTTGCGTCTTTCGGCATTTGGGGGGGAGGAGTGTAGTGCCAGGGGCAGGTAGAACCGGACGGGTAGCTCAGTAGGTAAGAGCACTCACCCTGTAAGCGAGGGGTCCCGGGTTCGATTCCTGGTCTGGTCGGTGATTTTTCTGCACTCACCCCAAATCGCTACAGTAACTAAATAAATGATAAATTAAAAGATTAATAGCAAAATAAAATTAAAACTAACATATATGTTCTCATACTTGGCATAATATTGCCTTGCCACCTTCTGCCAACATTTTAAAAGTTTGTCCTTTAAATGTTTCACTTTTGACCTTTTTGACAAAAAAAACAAACAGCATCTACAATCCTGTGCAGTCCCTAGTACATGTATAAAGGTACCTAGTGTAACAGTCTCACTAAACACAGAAATGACACAAAATGATGCAAATGACATAGAATGACACCATAGTGGTGCTTTAAACATCGAAGTAACTTGCTCATTGGACTCCCAAATTAAATTTATCTTGAACTCAGTACAGTGTTTATCTTCTGATTGAGATCTGTACAGGAAAAATGTCTTTGTAGCTCCTGAGTTATGACAGAATTGGATATCCATGCATTTGGCCTCCAGTCTCAAGCTGCAAAAATATTTCTCCTTTCCTTGTACATTTACCTTTGATTGATTTTGATCACTGAATGCATGTTTAAACAAGATTAAAAATTTTCTCCTAATATTCTAGGAGGACGATGAGCCTCTAGAAGAGGATGAGCTGCCAGAGTACAAGCGCCCACCTCCACAAGTGGACATGGGCAAGCTGGATGCAGATGACCCAGATGGATTGCTGAGAATGACTAAGAAGGGGAGAACACTCATGATGTTTGCAACAGTCTCAGGTACATTGGCCTACATTTTGGATTGAGTTTGGAATGTCTGTTCCTGTCAAACCTTGGTATTATTTTTCAAACAATAGGCCTTCAAGAGATAATGGAAGTTGTTATGTGAAAAGCCAATATGATGAAAGGTGCATGATGGTGATGACTTTTTTTTCTGTTTTTCTGTCTTGCAGGCAACCCCACAGAGAAAGAAACAGAGCAGATAACTGGGCTGTGGCAGTCCAGTCTGTTCAATGCTCATTTAGAAACTCAGAGGTAACATCATCTCTCATCTGCCAGCTCTGCTGTATGTAGGTAGATACAGGGCACCATTACCGCATCCCCTCATAAACTACCAAGACCTGTGTCCTCATCTTATAGAATCAGGTCACATATATTATCTCAAATTGACCCCCTTAGATTTATAAACAACAGGGCATCAGTAAGTTTCCCTAGGACTTTAAGCTTGCAACATTTTATACCTGTGTCTGTTTGAGATAATATGTAAGGCAAGATCATTCTGGTTGCAGGTATGTAGTAGGAAGTAACAGGGTGCTGTTTATGTTAAAGGATGGTGCTATGTCCATTGATGTGAAGAATTTTCTGGTCTCACAGGACAGGTGTGAGGAGGTCACCATAGAGGGCAAGAACTACCCAGGGAAAGGTGCCACTCAGGTGGGTAAAACAAAACGAGCCATTTCCAGAAGGTCCCATTGAAATTGAAGTAGAAAAGTGAAATCAAACTTGCAATGATAATGGTCTTTCTTAATGTTACTGGCTATAAATTCCTCTTTGTATTGCAAGTTATACACAGGATAACCAAATGAATGTTGCTGAGAAATCAATTGACGAAGATGGCTGCCCAGCAGTATGTTGGATGAAACTCTGGGCACAGTAATGTTCATCACACATACAGGACTGCTTGTAAAATATATCTAGGTTTAATTTAATGAGAGATAACCATGCTGATGTAATCAGTCTTACCAGTTACATTGTGGAACATCAACTGAAAGTATTCTGTACAGGCAGTTTTGTGTAACAGCAAGATGTTTACACATTTCACTAGGGAGACTAGAAAGCACTTGAGAGAATACAGACCTCTGTTAAGGCAACTCAGTTCTCATTATTATTAATTAGTTAATCAAATTATAGATATAGTTATGTTTGAGGTAATACACTGACGTCTGAGTGATGTATGCCAGGACACCTGTAATATTAGCAATAGGTGTTCAAGGTATATATTGCAAGAGGATAGCAGTGTACTAGTTGACATACATGCCGAGAGAAAGTGATTCCATTTCGCCAAAAAATGCCCCTAAAACCAAATGAGTGTATATCGCTACTAGTCACATATAACATCTTTAGATATGTATTTGATTTAACAGCATGGTTACGATATATAGGCCTCTATATCAATGCCTGCAATATTTTAGTGTAAAGTAGGCCTACAGCTCACTTAGTTTACACTGATATTTCAAGTCAGAAATCCACAATTTCAACTCTAATTACACATTTTAAGTAATATGATTAATAAGAAGGGGGCGGAAATACAGATTATTTATTCATTTGATGTGATGAATGAGGGGAGAGTGTAGCTCTTGTTGATTTTAAGTGAAAGACTTCCTATAATCACTCATTTGAATGACTGCGGGTTAAGATTTTGTATAGAGTATGTCTGTGACATGATTTCGATATTTTTTTTATTTTTGTAGGACAGTGTGGGAGGAAACACTGTGAAAGATGACCAGAAGAAAACAGATGATGTAAACAAGGTGAAGAAAATCAAAAATAAGGGCAAAAATGACATGAAGGATAAGAAGAAAAACAAAAGTAAAGACAAAGACACCAAAGCGAAAGATGAATTATGATGAATTCTGGCAGTGCACTTGTTGACAAGTAAAATGAGCAAAATTTCTGGGTAGTGTTTCTAGCAATATTGTCATTTTGTTGGGTATATTAAAGTATATTAAAGAATGGTACTTTTTTATATTTGTTAATTGTTATGGTAATTCTGTAACCTGAAAAAGTATGGCAGAATGAAAAGGGATCTCGATATGAAAGCTGTTCAAATTGGCACTGATATTATCTTTGGTAAGACACAGTGACCTTTTCAGGATAAACTTTTTTATGGTGTTGAAATACATATACTGGCAAAAGCCAGTTGAATTATTCTATAGTGTACAGAAGGGTGCATTTGTACAAAGTCAAGTGAAAGAGGCAGTTGAGGAATGGTTTAAGTTTGTATTGTTTAATTTAGAAACCCAAATGAAGAATGTCAAATCTGTAAATATTATGTACGTAAGTCTTTTAAATACAGAGACAATTATAGTCTTTTCTATGAGTTTTTGTTAATAAAAGAAAATATTTTGATTTTACTGCATATTTTTGATGACCTATCAAAATGCTACATAAGATGATCAATGCAGGCCATTAAAAAAATAATGGCAAATAATTCCTAAAATGTTGAACTTTTAAAACTTCTCCTGCATTGCATAACTGAAAAAAAAATCAATGTATCTCTAACTGTAAAAAAAGGGAAAAACAATTTTTGAAAATAAAGCTGAGTGTAGACTCGTGACTAACACTGTTGAACACAATTTGACCTACAAATTATTTCAATCTCATATTTGTATATCATATTATTTATAAGCCATCCATGGCATTTGTTCAATTTCTTGCTTGTAGCTAATAGGTATGTATTGAGCCTAAATTGCATTTGCCACTGGCGCCATACAATGAAATTATTGTCCTACTGTGTTATGTTAGAACTGTGACCCAATACATGCATTCCTTTGTTCCAACAGCATAGTATCTACAACATTGCAAATCCAACAATTAATTTATAAAATAAAATAACTAACATTTTGTTTGCATTTGGTTGGGGTATGTTTAGTTTGTTGAACTCTTACCTACAACTGGAAATGGCTGTCAATTCTTTAATAAACTTTAATACCTTGTTTAAAGGAAGAGACTATGGGCAGATCCTCGACATTTTTGAGAGCCAAAATGATCGCTGGCCCAGGCAGCCCCCTGGACCCCATTCCATACTTCCCGACTTTTTCACTGGGGGCAGTCTCATCCCTGAATTCACATTGACCCATTAATGGTTGACCACTTGTGCCTTTCTGTCATTTAATGGCAATCAAGTGACATGATGATCACTATAGGCTTCATTTGTTTATTGACAAACTTTACAACATAGCTAGTCCATCACTTGAGTAATTTAACCTCCATCTATTGCCTATCAGCTCCTGGCCTGTCAGTAGATTTTCCACTATGTTGATTGGCCAATTTCGAATGCTCAATGTACTCGATGTATTGCTTGGCCAATTTTCATCCCTCCCTCTCCCCCCCCCCCCCCAACACGCACACGCACACACACACACACTTATCAATACTCGATATGATTGAAACTTGGCAATTTGGAGGAAGTTATGACTTCCACGATTAATTTAATTTGATTAATTTGATGACACATCATCCAAAATTTTGAAAATACAATTTTTTTATGTACAGACACAGTCTACAGAAAGAAGTGTCAGAAATGGAAATAAACTCATATCATTGCAGTTTATCAGATTCAATCATTCACTATGTTCAGCATCTCAGATTGGAGCAAATTGGAAATCTTGAATTGTTCTCTTGATATTTTCCCTATTATGAGCAATTTTGTCAGTTGATCATATAAAAATGATAGTAAATTGATAATTTTGTTGTATGTTAAAAGGTGTTGAAAATGGAAACAAACTCATTTCATTACAGTTATCTCTTGTTTTTGGCATTTTGACTGTGAACTTCCATGGGCTTAAAGACCTTTGCTATGCACATTTTCTGAATATCTCTTACTCTTCCTAAACTCACAGGAAAGAAACATAGAACTAAAATACAGCTTCAGTTGGAAAAGTAGTCTGATTGGTTATTTTTTCTTGAAGTTATACAGTTTTTGTGAAAGTTTCATTTTTCACAAATTGGCATTTGAACTTCCATGGGCTTAAAGACCTTTGCAAGTAACATTTTCTGAATATCCAAATTACTTTCATTTTATTATTAAAAATTGATGGTCATTATGCTGTTAAGCTTTATGTAATATTGCATCAAAATTGAAGAAAAACCCTATTTTGGCACTGCCTCCATAGCGACCATTAAAGAAAAACCATGTCACTTACTCTTCTTTACTCTTCTCAAACTTGCAGGAAAGTAACAGGACTAAAATACAGCTTCATTTGGAAAACCTGTCTTATTGGTTTACTTTTCTGGAAGTTATACAGTTTTTTGTTAAAAATTTAATTTTTCACACATCGAAATTGTCAAGGTGTGACTTCAAACTTCCATGGGCTTGAAAACCTTTGCTAGTCTTTTCTGAATATCCGTGATTCTTTTATTTTATTACTAAAAATTGATGGTCATTATACTGTTAAGCATTATGTAATACTGCATCAAAATGGAAGAAAATCCTCTTTTTGGCACTACCTCCATAATGACCATCAGTGGCGGATTTTAGAGGGGGGGGGGGTGACACCCCCTACGGTTTCTGAAAAATATATCACACCTATATTCCCCTCTTGAGATTACAATTTTGACTACGTAAATCATAATTCTAAACCATACCAAAGGGCTACCCTCTACCTGGGCGACAGATTGATTTTCCACAGATATTCACAGATATGTCTCTAGATAAATAGACGGTCATTTTGGTCTGATGTCACCATGTGCTGAAATCTCAAGGATGATTACATGGCTTGTAATCATTTGCATAACTACTCAGGCACGGTCACTTAGCAAGTCCCTGCCAAGTCCCCTTGACAGTAATCAAGATAGTTAATTGCTCATCTGTGACAATAAAACAGCTCTTTAGCAGACAGACGAGACAAGCGTTAATTACATTGGACGAAACCCAGCTCTCACTGAGCTCTCTCCTGCAGAGCGAGTACAAAGCCTTCTGCGCGTGGGCAGAGTTAATTGTTTCCTCTTGGCCTAACGTAACAGGGTCACCTAAGCAAATATGTCCACAATAATAACTGCGGCCCTGGAAGAGGGTACCAAAGGGCACTGTTTGCTCTCCAAAACACCAAAAAAATTTCTGGGCCCTTGAGCAGGCCCCGAACCCTATACCAAGGGGGCAACGGTCAGCTTCACATTCCAAGGCCTGTTGTTCTGGACTCCCCTGCAAATAATCCTGGATCTGCCCCTGACCATTAAAGAAAACCAAGCAACCTACTCTTCTTAAACTAACAGGAAAGAAACATGGGACTGGGTGGGGTTGTGATTGAAGATTGGTATGAAATTGACGTTATTGGTTAAATATTTATTATTAGATTCTAAGTAATGGTTAAAATAGTAAGTCTGAATTGTCAAGGACTCAGTAGCAATATGGTGAAAAGGAGAGATATTTTTCATAAATGCAGGTCCAAATATGACATCGCTATATTGATTGATACTCACAGTGAGAAGAAAAACGAAAGCTTGTGGAAAAATGAATGGGGTGGGGACGCGGTTTTTTGTTCACTAACTAGTTGCAAAAGAGGTGTTGGCATCTTATTCAAATCTTCCTTTGACTTTAAAATCCACAAAGAGATTAAAGATCCTAGAGGTAGTTACCTATTACTAGACATTGAAATTCAGGGCACGAGACTCACGCTAGGCGCTATTTATGGACCAAACAATGACGATCCGTCTTTCTTTAAGGAGATCCAAAATAAAATTGAAGTAATTGGAAATACCTCAATAATACTTGGGGGGGACTGGAACGTACCACTTGATTACATAACTGACACCGATAATTACCTACACAACAACAACACAAAGGCAAACCGAGAAATTGTCCGCATAATGGACAGTTTGGATTTAATTGAT